TAGAAATAGAAATAGAAATAGAAATAGAAATAGAAATAAGAATAAGAATAAAAATAAAAAAAAAAAAAAAAATAAAAATAAAATAAAAATAAAAATAAATAAAAATAAGAATAAGAATAAGAATAAGAATAAGAATAAGAATAAGAATAAGAATAAGAATAAAAATAAAAATAAAAATAAAAATTAAAATAAAAATAAAAATAAAAATAAAAACAAAAATAAAAATAAAAATGGGGGAAATATGTGGAAATATCGACATATGGGGGATATAGGGAAATGCAAGAAAAAAAGGGGGGAAAGATGAGGAAGTATAAAAATATGGGGGGATAGGGGAAAATACAAAAAAAAGAGGGAGAAAGATGTGCAAATATATATGGGGGAAATATGTGGGAATACAAAAAAAAGGAGGGGAAATGGAAAATATAAAAAAATGGGGGTGGGATATGTGGGAATAAAAAAAAAAAAGGAAATATGTGGAAATACAAAAAATGGGGGGCATATGTGGGAATGCACGAAAATATGTGAAAATACAAAAAAGAGATGGAAATACACACAAAAAATGGGGAATATATGGAAATACACAAAAAAGGGGGGATATGTGGGGATACAAAAAAACGGGGTGAAAATATGTGAAAATTCAGCAATAAAGGGGGAAAATATGTGGAAATACAAGAAGAAAGAGGGGGAATGTGAAAACACGAAAAAATAAGGGAAATATGTGGAAACACACACAAAAAACCCAGGGGGGTAGAGATGTGAAAGTACCAAAAAAAGGGAGGAGAAAAAAGAAAGGGGAAAAAGATGTGAAAGCACAAAAAAAGAGAAAAAAAATACGTGAAAACACCCCAAAAATGGGGGAAAATGTGAAAACACCAAAAAGGGAAAAGATGTGAAAACACACAAAAAAAGGAAAAAATGAGGGGGAAACACAAAAAAAAAAAAAAAAAGGGGGGGTGAACACACACCAAAAAAAGGGAAAAATATAAGGGGAAAGCAAATAAAAAAGGAGGGGAAAAAAGAAAAGCAGAATTACCGAGCTGTTCCTTTAATGGGTTCTTTCCCCTCCCCACCAATAAATCACACACAAAAAAAAAAGTGTCCCACGTTCTTTGGAAGGGGGGATTTGCTTTAAAAAATAAAAATAAAAAGGGAAACTTTCTAAAAAATCCCCCCAGAAGCGATGTGGAAATCTCCACCTCATGGCTGGACGTGGATTCCTGCCTAAAGGTTTTTCCCAGACGCGTTTTCCGAGCCCTCCGCGTGTGGAAATTCGCATTTTTTGCACTCGCAGCTCTGCGAGAGCAGCGCGGAATTGCCCCCAAAAGTTCCCCCTGAGCGCTGGAGAACCGGCGAGAACGGGAGCTGCGATTTGTTAAATATCTCCCTTAAAAAAAAAAAAAAAAAAAAAAAAGGGGGGGAAAGGGAAGGAAAAAAAAAAAGGGGGAAAAAAAAAAAGGAGAGGGAATGGGAGGAAAAAAGATAGGGGGGGAAGGGAGAAAGATATCGAGGGAAAAAGGGAGGGAAAAAGGGAGGGAAAAAAAGGAGGAAGAAAAAAGGGAGGAAGAAAGAGATGGGGGAAAAGGAGGAAAAAAGGAGTTAAAAAAGAGGGAGGGAAAAAAAGAGGAAGAAAAAAGGGAGGAAGAAAGGGAGGAGGAAAAAAAAAGAGTTAAAAAAAGGGGAGGGAAAAAAAAAAAAAAAGAGGGCAGGGGAGGTGAAAATTGTAAAACTTTACTCAATCCGCCACTTAAATACAAATTACCAAAACATAAAACTTCACTTAGGGAGATTGGACAGCCGTAAAAAAAAAAAAAAAAAAAAAAAAAAAAAAAAAAAAAAAAAAAGAAAAAAAAAAAAAAAAAAAAAAAAAAAAAAAAAAAGAGAGAGAGAGAAAAAAAAACTTTAAAAAAAAAAAAGCCAAGTAGCCTGGAAGAAACTGGAGGAGGATGGTAACAGAGACTTCAAAGGCACATGGCCAAGCAGAGCAATAAAAATTTATGGAGGATGTAATTATAGCGCTCCGCAAACGGGCGCTCGTAAATCTCCGCCGAACGCTCCTTTTACAAGAAGATTCCTGCAAGACTCCGAGGTGCTACTCCGGGCGGAAAGCGAGGGCGCCGCGGCCCCGACTCACCCGTGCTGACATGGACCTTCCTCATCCAGGGGTACACCACGGGCTCCGCGCCGGGGCCGCCGGGGCCGCCGGGGCCGCCGGGGCCGCCGGGGCCGCCGGGGCCGCCGGGGCCGCCGGGGCCGCGGCAGGACGGCAGCGGCTGCTCCTCGCAGGCGGCCCGCGGCTCGTAGGCGGCTCCGTGCTGCTGGAAAGCGTCCTCCCGCTGCCGCTGGCCGCCGTAGTACTCCGGCGAGTGATTGGGAAGGTAATCGCTGTGGGAATACTCTTCGCAGGGTGGGAACTTGGGGTCCACGTAGTTGGAGTTGATCAGGAACGAGCTCATGGCCATTAATGTCTTAAGGATTTGCGAGCGCGCGCGGGGGCGAAAAAAATTACGTGTATATATATATATATATATATATATATATGTGTGTGTGTGTATATCTATCTATATCTATATATATGTATCTCCCTCTCTCCCTCTCTCTCTTTCTCTCCTTAAAATTTATTCCTGTGCCCCCCGACCCCCCCGCCCGCCGTTCCCCGTTTTCCTGTTCGGCGGAACCCTCCTACTTACTGTCAAGTGAACAAAGTTGAGTCCATGTGACAGCGCGGGCCAATGGCGAGGGCCACGGCGAGCCCCGGATAAGGAAACCTGCCCAGCCCGGGCTCTCCCGGGGCCCCCCGGCATCCCCGGGAGGCGGCCGGGGGCCGTCCGCTCCCCCCCGGCCGCCCCCGGCCCCTCCGGCCCCTCCGGCCGCCGCGGGCTCGCAGCGCCCCGCGGGCCGCCCACACCCCTCGGGGGTGTGTCCTCGCCTCGGGGAGGGCGGCGGGGACAGCGGCCCCCCCCTCGGAAAGCCGACAAACAGAGAATAATTAGCAGGCGAGGTAAAAATTCGGGGGGTTCGCGGGGGGACCCCGGGCGCTGCCTCCCCCCCGCCCGCCCCGCAAGCTGAGCCGCGGTCGCCACCCCCCGAGCCGGGGTCGCCACCCCCGAGCGGGGCTGCGGCCGGAGGGGATGCGGGAGCTGGCAGAGATGGATCGGGCTGCCCGGGGATCGATACGGAATTCAGCGGCTAATTCGGGGTGCCGGCCATCCCAAATCCCAGATCCCAAATCCCGCCCGCTCGGGGGCGGCAGGAGCGGCCCGCGCTCGGGGCCGGAGCCCGGCACTTGATGAACAATTACAAAAGCCAATTAGCCCGCGCCTAATGCGTTTTCCCCGAGCCCTTCTCGTCATAAAGGCGCTGCAAAAGCCACGGCGAGCTTTGAAATCCCCCAAGGAACCCCCCAAATCCTCCGGGCAGACCCCAAACGCGCCGGGAGCTGCAGGGAGCAAAGCGGCGGCACCGAGAATTTTTATTTATTTTTTAATCCTTGTCAGCGCCCAGACCACACAAATTAAAGCAAAGGCGGGCGAGCCCCGCTCTGAAATCTCTGCAACAACGCCCGCGACCCCCTCGCCCCCTCCCCAAATTCCCAAATCCCCAAATTCCCTCTCGCAGCTCCGCTCGTATCTCGGAGCTCTGATAAAGTTTGATCGCAGCAGCGCCGGAGTTGAGCTGAGGTCAAATCCAAAGGAGCCCTAAAGCGATTTTCTGCAAACCCTCCTTTCCACCCTTCTAATTTTTGATTTTTTAGGGTTTTTTTTTTT